ATAATATGCATTAATTCAAAGGGTCAAAGGGTGATCTTCAGAAAAATTATAATATTTTGGTTAATAGTTAAAATAGGATAATCTTTAAAAAAAACTCATTATATTTTAATATAATTAATTGAAAAGGACATGATGCCCGTTAAATCTAGGAAACTAACGAAAAAAATATTTTTTTGGAATTTTAGATAGTATTTTATGTTTTTCTATGAATAATATTTAATTTGAGATTGTTTTCATAAACTAGACTAAAATATTTAAAGTTTATTGGACATTTTTCTTAAATTTAATAGAAAAAAGAAAGTTGGTGCCACATGGAAGATATCTCTATTCTCAAAGACTTATTCATATACAAATACCTTTCTTTTAAGAATACAAAATTTCTTATATTTTTTCTAAATATGTGTGACTATTGTTCCAAAAACAAAGAATTTGTGATATTTGAATGGAATAGTATATAAAGTTCATAAATTTAATTGCGGGCCAACCAATGAAGCAAGTCGATATATACTATTTTAGCATCCGTCATATAAAAGATATTCGTGATTAAAATGAGATATAATGCCCCATTGTATTCCTACCCAATTGTGTTTTTTTTCCAATTTTCATGATTAATGGAACTTTTTGACGTAGACCATTTTGTGCACATCGTGAATTCGTGATATCGATCTTTATATTTTATTGATTTTTAATAAAAATTTAATACTACAACCATTATGTTTTATTTTAGATTTAATAAAATTATTTATTTATAACAAATATACAACATTTTTAAAAACATTAATGTTTAAATTATGTAGAAATTACCCTACAATTTTGAAAACGTGCCCAATGCGTTACGTAGGTGCATCTTTATTATATTTAATATTATATATTATCTTTGAAACAAAAATAATATAATCTTTTTATACAATAAACGTTTCTTTATTTTATTTTCTTGTGGATTTTGTTTAAAAATCAAAAACCATACAAAATTCCATCCCCAAATAAATAAGAACCAGTCAAATTAAGCTTTCTTTTATACCAGAACCACCTTAACCCCTCCTCATGGCCCTTTACCTTCTCTATCGTTTCTATATACGTTCTTGAAACACCGCCGGCCACCACGGTTGATCGGTGTTCCGACCAAGGGTCAACGATCATCACGACGATGACCCAACAAACACTTATTTATTACCTATCGGAACACCCCACCATAGTCAAATTCAGGTGGAGCCACACCGAATCATGGGGCTCCACCTGGTCTTTCCTCTTCACCTCCATCTCCGCCTATCTCCTCCTTGCACTCCTCCTCCACCTCCTCCTGTACTACCGCCGTCGCCCTGTACCTCTCGGCCCAATCCCCGCTCTACACTCGCTTTTCATGGCCCTCATCTCCCTCACAATCTTCACCGGAATTCTTTTCTCAGCGGCGGCGGAGATCCGTGACACTCGGTGGTTCTGGCGACGGACCAAGACCACGCCTTTTCAATGGTTTCTGTGTTTTCCGTTAGGTACGCGTCCGTCGGGTCGGGTCTTTTTTTGGTCGTATATCTTTTACTTGACCCGTTTCCTCCATACTTTCCGAACATTCTTCGCCATTCTCCGCCGCCGGAACCTCTCATTTTTCCGCCTGTTCAACCACTCAATCCTCATCCTCATGTCGTTTCTATGGCTTGAATTCTCCCAATCGTTTCAAATCCTTGGAATTTTGTTAACAACCTCTATTTACTCCGTCGTGTACGGGTACCGATTCTGGACGGCGATTGGCCTCCGGAGCGCTTGTTTCCCGTTCGTCATCAATTGTCAGATGGTTCTGCTTGCTTGCAACATCGTCTGCCATGTCGGAGTTCTTCTTCTCCACTTGAATAAAGGTGGGTGCAATGGAATCGGCGCATGGGGGATTAATTCGGTGCTCAACGTCGCAATTTTGCTACTTTTCTTGAATTTCTATGTCAACAGTCATCTGAAGCAGCGGAGGAAGAAGGCGGCGTTGTCGCCGGACCACCGTGATGACGTCGATGGAAAAGCGAATACAGTTTCTGCTGCCAGGGAAACCAATCGAATTGGTCGTAGCGACTATAAAGACAAAAATATTTGAAAGGTGAGTGGACAATGGACAGTGGCCAAATTTTTTGTCATTAAAACTTTTTTATTTATTTTAGTTTTAGTATTTTTAGGGGGGTGGTGATAAATAATATAAAATAATAAAAACTTCCACCACAATAATAATCAATAATGTGTATAAACTACAATTATGAAAGAAAGGGAAAAGGTGTATAATAATATAGTATTTAGTGACACTAGAATGTATTTAAGACTCAAAAAACGGTCAAAATTCTTGTATTTTTGTAATATTTTACGAGTACAAATGTTTAATGTAATTCAGAATGTGTATACTGTATACTACATTAATGGTAATGGTATTTTGGTGTAGCAAATACAGGAAAAAAGGTGTTTGGTGTGACTTTCTGTTGTCCCATATAAACGTGCAAAAATTTTGGTATCTTTTAATTATATTCAATAAATAAACACATAAATTTTTATGAATCTCATCACACAATTATGGTGAATTTTAGCCCGGTAAATTTGTGTTGCATCTTGTGTGACTATTAGTATATTGTGTGTTTGTATTCGTGTGTATGTTTGTATTAGGTTTGGTCTATTTATCTTTTGTATAAGCCTTGGCATGAGATACATTGTATATATAATTTTGATATGTTGAATGAAGGATTTTTAAGGGAGGACGTTCCTTATATTGGTATTTGAGCAATCCTCCTAAACCTTCTCATTATCTCTTCTATTCTTACCTTATCGGTTGCAACCCTAACTTCTGGCTAACGACCACCCTTTCTCTCCCTCTGATCTTTAACGACAACATGATTAACCTCCACCACCACGTGTTCAAAAAAGTTATATGGCATCACAAATATTCAGTCATTTGTTACGTTGATATATGATTAGAATGAATCAACTAAAACACAATTACGGGTTGATCAGAGGAGTTTGTATTTGTAGGGATGATGTACACATGTCCCACCCTTTTATGCAGATGATGTCATGTTTCTCTCAGAGTGATCACAAGTTGATATCCAGAACATTGTTCGGGCCTGAAGATATTTTTCCATAGCTTCTTACATTTAATTTAAACAAATCTAATTTGTATGAGGTTGGCACTGATGGAGCTAAGGTAGATAATATGGGTATAGTTTTTGGTTGTTATCCTTGGAAGCTTATGTTTATATATTTGGGCCTTCTTGTTGGGTCTAACATGGCTTGAATTGTAGGGTGGAATAACCTCTATATAAAGTCTGGAGTATATTGTCTATGTGGAAGGTTAGAATCCTTTCAAATGGTGGTTGTTTCACATTGATAAGTTTATTCGAGGAGTTTTGTTGTTTTGTACATCTCTATGTTTAAAGCTTCATATAAAATTATTAAGACCAATGAAAGCCTTATAAGTCCATTTTTATAGGGAGGAGATATGTGTGGGTTAAATGGGAGGTGATTTTAGCAAGGTTAGATAAAGGAGGTTTGGGTGGTGGAATTTTATATGCTTTTTCCTACCTTTACTTCGGAAATGGAATGGAGGTTGAGGTTTCTAAATAGGGGACACTCTATGTGGCTTGGTTGATTAAATCCATCAACAATATAGTGGAGGCTTCGAAGGAGGTTGTAAAATAACAAATACCTGGTCAAATATTATGGGTTCAATGAGTTGAATTCAATTCCATTTTTTATTGAAAAAGGTGAGTGATGGGTGTTCTACACAATTTTGGCATGACATTTAGATAGGTTAATTGGTTTATAAATTTTTTTTTGAAAGACTTTACCATTACTAGATGAATAAAAGATAATCTTATTATTGGCATCTATTAAATGTGACTTGAGCATTTGGAGCATTCGCATGGAGCATTCGAGTTTAATGGAGAACTATGAACTCAACGGAGCACTTGGGATTAATGGAACATGTGACAAAGGAACGAATCATCTGAGAATATCCCTTGATGAGCTATTTTTGTTTTAAAGTACTCTATGATGATTAAGATTGTCCAAGGTTTCTCATATGTTGAAGTTGCTCAGGGATTATTGCTTGACGTGCCACCATCATGGTTGATGAGCCATGGTGATCTTGATGTGCCACTCTTGCATCATGATGAGCCACTATGGATCATGATGTTCTGTCATGTGTGTTGTTGATGCTCACACAATGTAAATCGAGGACGAATCTTCCAGAAGCTACTACATGGCAGATTGTGATTAGTTGACACGATTTACGGGCCTATGGGCCAATGGGCTTGGCCCATTAGGGTTTTAGGTCTGATCCTTTCAATTTAAATATGGATGCCTACTAAGTCATTTGGTGTGTCTTTTTGTGTCCTTAGTGAGTAGGTCGAATATCTATTGAGTTGTACTTGTAATATCTGTTTGAGAACTATGTGAATAAAGAATACTCCCCTCCTGCCCGTAGATGTAGGTCACCTTGACCGAACCACATAAATACACTATCCTTGTATGCTTTTGATTTCGTGTGTTATCTGCATTACTTCCTAACAAGGGTCATCAGAACTTGGAGTGGCATCATATTTGTTCTGAGTCTTGACAACTAACGTTTGGTTTCCCTAACAAGTGGTATCAGAGTTGCGGTTGGTGTTCTATTGATTAAGGATGGCATCTCACAAATTCGATTTGGAGAACTTCAATGGTTCGAATGATTTCACTTTATGGAAGGTGACGATGAAGGCTCTTCTAGTTCAACAAGGATGTGCATCGCCATTGGAAGGTGAAGCGAAACTGCCAAAGGAGATATCGGCTTAAAGGAAGGTGGATATTCTGGAAAGAGAGCATAGTGCTATTCTGTTGAGTTTGACATAAAAAGTACCGATATAGGTCGTGGATAAACGAGTGCATGTGGGCTTTGAGAGAAATTGCGTGACAAGTATCAAAAAATTCTCTGACTAACAGGTTTTATCAGAAGCAACATTTGTATATTCTTACGATGTCGGAAAGCACCCAAGTGAAAGATCATTAGGATAACTTCAATATGATCATCTTGGATTTAATGCGTACATGTAACGATTGAAGATGAAGATCAAGCACTTATCCTCTTATATTTAATGTCGAATTCTTATGAGAATTTCATTGATAACCGTGTTGTATGTTAGACCATCGATCACTGTGAATGATGTTAAGGATTCTTTGATGTCCAAGGAACTGAAAAGGAAAGTTTCAGTTGGAGAAGAAGTTTCAAGTTCAATTTTTTTCGCAGGCAGCTGAAGAACATTAGATAGAAGTGGAGGTAACAAAGGTAAGTCAAGTTCTGAATCTAAATCCAACATCAAATGTTAGAATTGTAAGGAAAATGGCCACTTCAGAAGAGAATGTCTATTGCTGAAGAAAGGGAATAATGGTGTTGAATCAAGCAACAACAATGATGATATGGTTTAAGGAAATTATGATGATGGGGATGATGGTGGACTTTTAACTGTATGTACATCTAGTTATTTTGATGCCTTGGTCTTGGATACTTGAGCATCCTATCACATTACTTACAATCGAGACAGGTTCGATTCCTTTAAAGATGGAATGGCACAATAAATATGGGTGGTGATTGGATAAGCAAGGTAACGGGCATTGGCACAATACAGATTAAGATGCACGAAGGTATGGTTAGGAAACTAGATTGTTGGTTTGTCTCTGACCTTCGAAAGAACCTAATCTTTGTTGGCACTTTGGCAAAGGATGGATTATAGTATTCTGGAGATTGTAACTGGACAAGAGTTTCCAAGGGTTATCTTGTAGTTATGAAGGGAAAGATGAATCATCATAGGATTTATATCATGGAAGGCTCTACGATTAGAGGAACGGTGACTGTATCCCAATCCTTGGTCAGCATGATGATTAAAGAAAGTTTTGGCATCATAAGTTGGTACATGTGAGCGAGAACAGGTTGTTTGGTGGAGATGCAGCTCGAAATGCTAAACCTGGTGAAGCTTGTGTTCAGGAGACACAACATAGGGTAAAGTTCACTCAGATCTATGGGGTACCTTTCCTGTGAAGTCTCATGGTGGATGTCAATACTTTGTGAATTTTATCGATGATTACTCAAGGAATACCTGGGTGTACTTTCTGGAGACAAAGGACGAAGAAGAAGTGTTTGGGCGGTAGTCCTGGGTGTACTTTCTGAAGACAAAGGACAAAGATGAAGTGTTTGGACGGTTCAATGAATTGAAGACTATGGTTGTAAAACATACCAGAAACCAAGTCAAGTCACTCACAACAGAAAATGGGTTGGAGTTTTACAAGGTTTCGTTTGACAACTTCTGCAAAACAGAAGGTATATTAAGGCATTGCACCATAAGGCTAACACCATAACAAAGCAGAGTGAGATAATAGATGAACTAAACGCTGGTGAAGCATGCTCAGTGTCTACAATGATCTACTAATTTCTCAGAGCAATTATGGGCAGAAGCAGTCAACACTGCTTGTTATATGACGAATATAACTCCATCAACTATAACCAATTGTAAGACTCCTTAAGAGGTGTGGTATGGGAAACTTTCTAATAATTTCAGTTTACAGATGTTTGGATTCCCTACTTACACTCGTGTGAATGATGGTAAACTGTAGTCGAAGGTAATGAAATGAATATTTCTAGGGTATGTATCCAGAGGGAAAGGTCATCGTTTGTGGTGTACATAAGAAGGAAAGACTCCAAAATCTATTGTTAGCATAGATGTGACCTTTGAATCTACTATGTGTAACCAGAGAGGAGGTGGTACAAGTTTTGCGGGGAACGATCAAGGTACTAGCCAAAAGGTGGTGTTTGAAACAGAAAACCCACATAATTTTGTTATAAATGAGGAACAACAGTGAGCATCGAACAACATAGACATGAGGAATCCCTTGAACAACCCAGGGAAGAAGTGTCTGGTGATGTTGATGCCAGGAAAGACAACTTGAAGAAGCTTATGGAGAATGAGCTTGTGATTAACAATATAGGAGTTGAAAAGAAGATAACATCGATGGAGATTCGGAGGGATAGATGAGCATGATAGTTATACATTTCTCACTACGTTGAGAAAGTCTTTCAGTCTTTCT